ATTCCTGCAGCTCTTTTCTCAGGGCTGATCTTTCACACCCCCTCTGAGCACAGTCAAATCAGTTTTATTGGGCCTCTTTGTTATGCAAACAAGGCAATAATAACCAGGCCATTATTCTGCAAGATTGTGCTTGATTAACAGTTCAAAGGAGGTCGCTGCCCAGCACTGCATCCAGCACAAATCCTTTCACCAAGCTTGGGTCAGGTGGCCCTTGGGTCTTCCTCACCCCACGGTGCCCTTTGGGGCTCGGGGAGCTGCCCCTGCCCCATCCATCAGGACTGCTCCTTTCTCTCCTGGCGTGACGAAGCACTGGTTGATGTGTGTTGGCCTCACAGACCATGTGGGCACCAAGACGTGGGTCCAGCATGGTTAGCATGTAGGGTTGCTCACGTAGAGCTCCCAACTGGGACAGGGACAGCGTGAGGGGCTGGATGTAAAGGGCTGATGTTGTTCATCGCCTCTGGTTTTGCTTTGGACTCCCAAAATCTTGCTGGAAGGGGTCCTGAACTAGGTTTTTGAGGAGCAATATGGGCTTTTTAACTCTCTTGGGGTCATTCTGGTGTGGATGGTGACTGCTGTCCACCCGGGAGCTGAGCAGCCCACATCTCCTTGAAGCTGGTAGATGTTGCTGGTATTTAGCACCTCCGAGAATCGTGCCTTTCCTATTGAGGTGTCAGCATAAATATGTTTATTTAGATTACTTAAATAAATATGTGTTTAGGAGCCTAAGTCTGGGTGCTCAGATCTGAGGCCAAAGGTAATTACGTTTTACTGTGTTCTCCGAAAAAGCCTTTTACTGCATGTGTGAGGCTTGCATATCTACACTTCAATCCATATATTTGGAAAGATGCAGGATGATGTATTTGCATCACATGCGGGTGATGAAATACTTTCCAGCCTGTTAGTAACCAAGAGGATATTAAACATCATCTCTTAGCAGTGAATGCTTTAAAATTAACAGGTCTGGTTAACATGTACCCAAGAGTCTTAAAAGAATGGGCGTTTGCTTACTGAAATTAATTTCCAGTAACTCTGTTTGCTGGAGAAATTACAGGAGAACAGATGAATTGCTGATTTTGTGCTAGTTTTCTGAATAAGCGTGAATCGGGTAAATGAAATCCAGGTGACCTGACACTGGCTGAAAGGAAAATAGGGGACACTGATAATTAAAAGGCCGTTCAAGTCAGATGCGTGGATGTAATGTGTTTGAACACTTACTTTAACAGCATGTAATATAACATACGGATGGTGAGGGCAGAGCGGTGGGACCTGGGTTGTGCCGTACCCCAGGCACACAGGAGCTCGCTGGGGCAGGTGGACCACAGGATGCTCACAGGATGCAGGACTGGTGCCTTGCAAATCGGGAGCTCTGGAAAAGGTCACAGCCAAAATGGACATCTTGGTGAATGCCCTGGTGCAAGGGGTGACCTCGGGAGAGCGCATGTCCTGCATCGGTATTGGCCATTGGGGCAGTAGGTTTTGCAGGAAGGGGAGGTCTGATGGTGGGCAAACACCTTCCAGTGAGAACTTCAAAGTGCAAACCGTTTAGCTTATCTGGAGGATTGACAAGTGACTTGATTGCAGTGTGTAAATATCTTTGTGGTGAACACGCTGGTTACTAGCAGACCTTTTACCGCTTTGGAGAAAATTGCTGGTTCTTTTTATGTCCTTACAATGCAGTCAGATAAAATCCACTTAGAACCAAGACCCGCGTTTTGTAAAGGTGATAAACTCCTGAAACAGGAAAAGGGTGGCTTTTCAGACCGCAGAAGCCCTCATGGGAGGTATACCTGAACAAACATTGGGCACCGGGCTGCGCATGGCAGGGCTGTCTCAGTCCAGGTGATTTAATGATTTCTTCTGGCTTTAAACCTTCCAAAACTGTTAGTTTCAACATACCAAAGGAAGTTTTGTCCCTGGTTTGAGTGGCACCAAACCCTTGAAAGGAGATGGTGGGGAGGTTGGGAGGTGGCTGAGATGTGAGGGGTTGAAGTCACCCATTCCTGGGATGAAGGACCCTTTGGTGGCATCACCCAGACCCGGGGCTGTCTCACAGGTCCCACGAGAGCCTTGCTGGGTTCCTGCTTCAGAGGGGTTTGTTTCCTTGCTAAGTCATCTGTGGTTGAAAAACAGATCCATTGTGAGTCGATGGAAAATAGATTATGTGAAATTGAATAAACATCGTTTCTTGGCGCGGGTACAAGTGAGACTGCACTGCTGTGCCAAAGCTGCTGCCAGAGGGGACGGGGCGAGGCGTGCTTGTTGGGGGAGAGGGTCGTGTCTGCTCCCCTTCGTGGCCTTTGTCAGCCGTGGTCCCTCCCCAGCAGCATGAGGGGTTTGCCAAACCCGGTGGCCACTGGTGTGGTTGGAGAAGCACCCATTGGAAAGCCCAGGCGTGAGCAGCCCCGCTCGCACGTCGCCTCTGCGGCACCTGGCTTTGGAAATCTGGCCTTATATGGGGCCCTGAGCACAACGGCGAACAAGGGACCAGTGCCAAAACCAGAGCGATAACATCTTAAAGAAGAACGCTCCCTCTTCAGGCCCAGGGAGGAAGGAGATGGGCTTCCCTGCCCTCGGTTTGGCTGGGTCTGTTTTTTTAAACTCGGTGCCTTACAAAGTCATGCCTGTCCCTAGGGTGGTGTGGTGGAGAGGCTGGGGGGCTGTTTTTGCAGCAGCCCACACTATCCATAGGCTGCT